TCCTGTATGAGCCCTGAACACAGAGGACTCGCCTTTCCTGAACACAACACACACACACACACACACACACACACTCCTGTATGAGCCCTGAACACAGAGGACTCGCCTTTCCTGAACACAACACACACACACACACACACACACACACACACACACACACACACACACACTCCTGTATGAGCCCTGAACACAGAGGACTCGCCTTTCCTGAACACAACACACACACACACACACACACACACACACTCCTGTATGAGCCCTGAACACAGAGGACTCGCCTTTCCTGAACACAACACACACACACACACACACACACACACACTCCTGTATGAGCCCTGAACACAGAGGACTCGCCTTTCCTGAACACAACACACACACACACACACACACACACACACACACTCCTGTATGAGCCCTGAACACTGAGGACTCGCCTTTCCTGAACACAACACACGTCAGTCAGAACACGGTAGATCACGTCAGAACACGTCAGAACAAGTCAGATCACGTCAGAACACGCCAGATCACATCAGAACAAGTCAGATCACGTCAGAACACTTCAGAACACGTCACACGTCAGAACACGTCACACGTCAGAACCCGGCAAAACATGGCAGAACACGGCAAAACAGGGCAGAACACGCCAGATCACGTCAGAACACGGCAGAACAGGGCAGAACACGTCAGAACACGCCAGATCACGGCAGAACAGAGCAGAACACGCCAGAACACTTCACACGTCAGAACACGCCAGATCACGCCAGAACACGTCAGATCACGCCAGATCACGGCAGAACAGGGCAGAACACACCAGAACACGTCACACGTCAGAACACGCCAGAACACGTCAGATCACGCCAGATCACGTCAGAACAGGGCAGAACACGTCAGAACACGCCAGATCACGGCAGAACAGGGCAGAACACGTCAGAACACGTCACTCAGAACACGTCACACGACAGAACACGTCAGAACAAGTCAGAACACGTCAGAACACGCCAGAACACGTCACACATCAGAACACGGCAAAACATGGCAGAACACGGCAAAACATGGCAGAACACGCCAGATCACGTCAGAACAGGGCAGAACACGTCAGAACACGCCAGAACACGTCACACGTCAGAACACGGCAAAACATGGCAGAACACGGCAAAACATGGCAGAACACGCCAGATCACGGCAGAACACGTCAGAACACGCCAGAACACGTCACACATCAGAACACGGCAAAACATGGCAGAACACGCCAGATCACGTCAGAACATGGCAGATCACGTCAGTCAGAACACGGTAGATCACGTCAGAACACGCCAGATCACGCCAGAACACGTCAGATCACGGCAGAACACGCCAGATCACATCAGAACAAGTCAGATCACGTCAGAACACGCCAGAACACGTCACACGTCACACGTCAGAACATGGCAGAACACGGCAAAACATGGCAGAACACCCCAGATCACGTCAGAACACAGCAGATCACGCCAGTAAGAACACGGTAGATCACGCCAGAACACGCCAGATCACGCCAGAACACGTCAGATCACGTCAGTCAGAACACGCCAGATCACGCCAGAACACGTCAGATCACGTCAGTCAGAACACGCCAGATCACCTCAGAAAACGTCAGAACACGCCAGAACACTTCAGAACACGTCAGATCACGTCAGAACATTTCAGATCACATTAGAACATGTCAGATCACGTCAGAACACTATTGTCAGAACACATTAGATCATGTCAGTCAGAACACGCCAGAACACGTCAGATCACGTCAGAACACGTCAATCAGAACACGCCAGATCACGTCACTCAGATCACGTCAGAACACGCCAGATCACGTCAGATCACGCCAGAACACGGCAGAACCTGTCAGATCATGTCAGAACACGTCAGAACACGTCAGTCAGAACACATCAGATCACGTCAGAACACGTCAGTCAGAACACGTCAGATCACGTCAAATCACGTCAGTCAGAACATGTCAGTCAGAACACGTCAGATCACGTCAGAATGCGTCAGTCAGAACACGTCAGAACACGTCACTCAGAACACGTCAGATCACGTCAGAACACGTCAAATCACGTCAGTCAGAACACATCAGATCACGTCAGAACACGTCAGATCACGTCAGTCAGAACACGTCAGTCAGAACACATCAGATCACGTCAGAACACGTCAGATCACGTCAGTCAGAACACGTCAGATCACGTCAAATCACGTCAGTCAGAACATGTCAGTCAGAACACGTCAGATCACGTCAGTCAGAACACGTCAGATCACGTCAGAACACGTCAGATCACGTCAGAATGCGTCAGTCAGAACACGTCGGATCACGTCAAATCACGTCAGTCAGAACACGTCAGAACACGGCAGAATACGTCAGATCACGCCAGAACACGTCAGTCAGAACACGCCAGAACACGTCAGTCAGAACACGCCAGAACACGTCAGTCAGAACACGGCAGAACACGTCAGTCAGAACACGGCAGAACACGTCAGTCAGAACACACCAGAACACGGCAGAATACGTAAGATCACATTAGAACATGTCAGATCACGTCAGTCAGAACACCCCAGATCACGTCAGAACACGTCAGATCACGCCAGAACACGTCAGAACACGTCAGATAATGTCAGAACACGCCAGATCACGTCAGTCAGAACACATCAGATCACGTCAGAACACGTCAGATCACGTCAGTCAGAACACGTCAGATCACGTCAAATCACGTCAGTCAGAACATGTCAGTCAGAACACGTCAGATCATGTCAGAATGCGTCAGTCAGAACACATCAGAACACGTCAGTCAGAACACGTCAGATCACGTCAGAGCACATCAAATCACGTCAGTCAGAACACGTCAGATCACGTCAAATCACGTCAGTCAGAACACGTCAGATCACGTCAGAGCACATCAAATCACGTCAGTCAGAACACGTCAGATCACGTCAAATCACGTCAGTCAGAACATGTCAGTCAGAACACGTCAGATCACGTCAGAATGCGTCAGTCAGAACACGTCAGTCAGAACACGTCAGATCACGTCAGAACACGTCAGATCACGTCAGTCAGAACACATCAGATCACGTCAGAATGCGTCAGTCAGAACACGTCAGATCACGTCAGATCACGTCAGAATGCGTCAGTCAGAACACATCAGATCACGTCAGATCACGTCAGAATGCGTCAGTCAGAACACGTCAGATCACGTCAAATCACGTCAGTCAGAACACGTCAGAACACGGCAGAATACGTCAGATCACCCCAGAACACGTCAGAACACGGCAGAATACGTCAGATCACCCCAGAACACGTCAGTCAGAACACGCCAGAACACGTCAGTCAGAACACGCCAGTCAGAACACGGCAGAACACGTCAGTCAGAACACGGCAGAATACGTAAGATCACATTAGAACACGTCAGATCACGTCAGAATGCGTCAGTCAGAACACGTCAGATCACGTCAAATCACGTCAGTCAGAACACGTCAGATCACGTCAAATCACGTCAGTCAGATCACGCCAGAACACGTCAGTCAGATCACGCCAGAACACGTCAGTCAGATCACGCCAGAACACGTCAGTCAGATCACGCCAGAACACGTCAGTCGGAACACGGCAGAACACGCCAGAACACGTCAGTCAGAACACGGCAGAATACGTCCGATCACGCCAGAATACGTCAGTCAGAACACGGAGGAACACGGCAGAATACGTCAGTCAGAACACGTCAGAACACGGCAGAATACGTCCGATCACGCCAGAACACGTCAGTCAGAACACGGCAGAATACGTCCGATCACGCCAGAACACGTCAGTCAGAACACGGCAGAACACGGCAGAATACGTCCGATCACGCCAGAACACGTCAGTCAGAACACGGCAGAACACGGCAGAATACGTCCGATCACGCCAGAACACGTCAGTCGGAACACGTCAGATCACGTCAGTCAGAACACGTCAGAACACGGCAGAATACGTAAGATCACATTAGAACATGTCAGATCATGTATATTCCTCATTTTAGCTAAGATGAGACCTTACTATAACGTGCTTCCAGTGATAATTTGTCTAAAAACAATATAAAAAAGCTTTTTGTGGCGTGACTTAAGACGCACAAATCATATTTTTTCCAGTCAGACATTGTGGTCAGATATAATTATAGTAGTATAAATGAGATGGGTTAGGGTTAGCTGAATGTGGTTCACACACTGATCTGTTCCCAGTATTACTCTGTGACCGTGAGTTAGTGATTAGTGACCAGTGATTAGTGAACAGTGATTAGTGACCAGTGATTAGTGACCAGTGATTAGTGACCAGTGATTAGTGAAGTGATTAGTGACCAGTGATTAGTGACCAGTGATTAGTGACCAGTGATTAGTGAACAGTGATTAGTGAACAGTGATTAGTGAACAGTGATTAGTGACCAGTGATTAGTGACCAGTGATTAGTGACCAGTGATTAGTGAACAGTGATTAGTGACCAGTGATTAGTGACCAGTGATTAGTGAACAGTGATTAGTGAACAGTGATTAGTGAACAGTGATTAGTGACCAGTGATTAGTGAACAGTGATTAGTGAACAGTGATTAGTGAACAGTGATTAGTGACCAGTGATTAGTGAACAGTGATTAGTGAACAGTGATTAGTGACCAGTGATTAGTGAACAGTGATTAGTGACCAGTGATTAGTGACCAGTGATTAGTGACCAGTGATTAGTGACCAGTGATTAGTGAACAGTGATTAGTGACCAGTGATTAGTGAACAGTGATTAGTGACCAGTGATTAGTGAACAGTGATTAGTGAACAGTGATTAGTGAACAGTGATTAGTGACCAGTGATTAGTGAACAGTGATTAGTGACCAGTGATTAGTGAACAGTGATTAGTGAACAGTGATTAGTGAACAGTGATTAGTGACCAGTGATTAGTGAACAGTGATTAGTGACCAGTGATTAGTGACCAGTGATTAGTGACCAGTACCTGGCGCAGCGCACCCAGTTGATGTGCTGGTTGAGGGAGAAGAGGAACTTCTGGCGATGGACGGTCCAGACTTTGATGCTCTTGTCATCAGACGCGGTGACGAGTGTCTGACCATCACTGGAGAAGCTCACGCTGCGCACCGTCCCCGTATGAGCCCTGAACACAGAGGACTCGCCTTTCCTGAACACAACACACACACACACACACTCCTGTATGAGCCCTGAACACTGAGGACTCACCTTTCCTGAACACAACACACACACACACACACTCCTGTATGAGCCCTGAACACTGAGGACTCGCCTTTCCTGAACACAACACACACACACACACACACACACTCCTGTATGAGCCCTGAACACAGAGGACTCACCTTTCCTGAACACAACACACACACACACACACACACTCCTGTATGAGCCCTGAACACTGAGGACTCGCCTTTCCTGAACACAACACACACACACACACACACACACACACACTCCTGTATGAGCCCTGAACACAGAGGACTCACCTTTCCTGAACACAACACACACACACACACACACACTCCTGTATGAGCCCTGAACACTGAGGACTCACCTTTCCTGAACACAACACACACACACACACACACACACTCCTGTATGAGCCCTGAACACTGAGGACTCACCTTTCCTGAACACAACACACACACACACACACACACACACACACACACACTCCTGTATGAGCCCTGAACACTGAGGACTCGCCTTTCCTGAACACAACACACACACACACACACACACACACACTCCTGTATGAGCCCCGAACACAGAGGACTCGCCTTTCCTGAACACAACACACACACACACACACACACACACACTCCTGTATGAGCCCTGAACACTGAGGACTCACCTTTCCTGAACACAACACACACACACACACACACACACACACTCCTGTATGAGCCCCGAACACAGAGGACTCGCCTTTCCTGAACACAACACACACACACACACACACACACACACTCCTGTATGAGCCCTGAACACTGAGGACTCGCCTTTCCTGAACACAACACACACACACACACACACACACACTCCTGTATGAGCCCTGAACACTGAGGACTCGCCTTTCCTGAACACAACACACACACACACACACACACTCCTGTATGAGCCCTGAACACTGAGGACTCACCTTTCCTGAACACAACACACACACACACACACACACTCCTGTATGAGCCCTGAACACTGAGGACTCGCCTTTCCTGAACACAACACACACACACACACACACACACACACACACACACACACACTCCTGTATGAGCCCTGAACACTGAGGACTCGCCTTTCCTGAACACAACACACACACACACACACACACACACACACTCCTGTATGAGCCCTGAACACTGAGGACTCGCCTTTCCTGAACACAACACACACACACACACACACACACACACACACTCCTGTATGAGCCCTGAACACTGAGGACTCGCCTTTCCTGAACACAACACACACACACACACACACACACACACACACACACACACACACACACTCCTGTATGAGCCCTGAACACTGAGGACTCACCTTTCCTGAACACAACACACACACACACACACACACACTCCTGTATGAGACCTGAACACTGAGGACTCACCTTTCCTGAACACAACACACACACACACACACACACACACACACACACACACACACACACACACTCCTGTATGAGACCTGAACACTGAGGACTCACCTTTCCTGAACACAACACACACACACACACACACACACACTCCTGTATGAGCCCTGAACACTGAGGACTCGCCTTTCCTGAACACAACACACACACACACACACACACACTCCTGTATGAGCCCTGAACACAGAGGACTCGCCTTTCCTGAACACAACACACACACACACACACACACACTCCTGTATGAGCCCTGAACACTGAGGACTCGCCTTTCCTGAACACAACACACACACACACACACACACACTCCTGTATGAGCCCTGAACACTGAGGACTCGCCTTTCCTGAACACAACACACACACACACACACACACACACTCCTGTATGAGCCCTGAACACTGAGGACTCGCCTTTCCTGAACACAACACACACACACACACACACACACACTCCTGTATGAGCCCTGAACACAGAGGACTCGCCTTTCCTGAACACAACACACACACACACACACACACTCCTGTATGAGCCCTGAACACTGAGGACTCACCTTTCCTGAACACAACACACACACACACACACACACACACACACACTCCTGTATGAGCCCTGAACACTGAGGACTCACCTTTCCTGAACACAACACACACACACACACACACACACACACACTCCTGTATGAGCCCTGAACACTGAGGACTCGCCTTTCCTGAACACAACACACACACACACACACACTCCTGTATGAGCCCTGAACACTGAGGACTCACCTTTCCTGAACACAACACACACACACACACACACACACACACACACTCCTGTATGAGCCCTGAAAACAGAGGACTCGCCTTTCCTGAACACAACACACACACACACACACACACACACACTCCTGTATGAGCCCTGAACACTGAGGACTCGCCTTTCCTGAACACAACACACACACACACACACACACACACACACTCC